GAGAGAGAGAGAGAGACCTGCAGCATGCAACATGTCAGTGGCGGGGCACAAGAGGGCAGGCGCTGACCTCCAACAAAAAGAAAAAGTAATTTTATCGGAATACTAGAGTTTTTCTTTTCGAAATCCGAATAGAATAGAAAGGGTACAGGTTGTCTTCGAATACAACCTGTACATTTTTTATTCGAGGAAACTGTGGTATTCGAGAAAAGTGCACCCGCACCGTTTCAATTTCGAAAAAGGCTTCAGGACCGCGGCCTCCTCAGCCTCCTCCGCGCATCTACCAGTCCTACGCGGTCCTGGCCCTTGCAAGGCCCCAAAACCTCAAAATGCCCACCCTCCCGACGACCACAACGTTGAAATGACGTTGAACGTTGAAATGTCTCGGGGGGGGAAACGCATCCCTGACGGGCTGCGAATTTGGGTCACTTACCTGTCGGCAATAGCCTTACCTGCATCTGAATTGTCCGTAACATAATATTCAATTGTCGGGCGCCGCACCTCATAACATTTGGACCACCCAGTAAGGCATTGTACCCAACGTTGCCACCTATTATTAAACCTTCGAGACAATATAATAAGCACCCTATCAAAAAATTTTAGCCTATGCAGAAAAGCACCCAAAACAGCCATCTTCTGTTGTTTTGGCGAAAACTACACATAATCCTGCAAATTTTAAAACACGATATCTTGACCCATAATAGTTCTTTCATTCTTATAAGTGGCAGCAGACAGAATCCTCGCTAGACTCTGAAACACCTTCAAGATACAGCCAAGGTAATCCCATTCGCTACCTTCGCTAGTCTTTTCCAACACCAACTCTCTGTCATACGAAACACTAAATCTGTCAATCCTTTCTTCGACAATCTGTTTGGACGCATCCTCTCTTGAATTAAAGCTCGTGAAAACTGAAACATCGTCTGCTAGGTAAGTAAGATCCATAGCAGATATCACAAACACACGTCACTTAGTGTTGAAACACTAAGCGACAGCAAGATTGAGTCAAAGACAAACAATCAAAGGTTTTTCAATGAGTTCAACACAATTCCAGAAAAGCGGCTCCCCAACTGGTTTCGATCACCGCCAGGTGATCGTCTTCAGGAGGTTTCTCCCACCACACAGTCCTGCACGCGTCCCACACACCTCCGCATGCTTCCAACGCTACACCCTCCTCTGTCAACCACCATTATCCCGGAATACAGGCTTTGACATCGCTCTTGGAAAAGAGGTCTAAGACTACATAATCATTGCTTATGAACTCAAAGTAACCCAGCGTACCAAAACCCTATGTACCCTAGTCCAGAATTGTCTACCTCATGGGCGCGGGGAACGCAGCCTTAAGGTAGCCAAATCAATGAGACTAAGAGCTAACACAAGAGAGAGAGAGAGAGAGAGAGAGAGAGAGAGAGAGAGAGAGAGAGAGAGAGAGTTTTGTTTCATTTATTGTTAAGAGTGTG